CAATCTCCCCGCGGTGTACTACTGTGATAAAAAAATAAAGTGAATTTTTCATTTAAACTTCGCGGATACTATAAAATCATGAAATTTTTTTGTGGGTTGGTAGCACTGTCTTTGACATCTATGCAGAGTTTCATGTCAATATATTCAATTGCTGCACAGCTATACGTGTTTTTGTAAACATATAAAAGTGAGTTTTTCGATTTTTACTATGTCTGATTTTGTTGAGCAAAGAATATGCATTAAATTTTGTTTGCGGAATGAATATTCTGCCGCGGATGTTGCAGAAGGCCTTTGATGATAAAGTTACGTCGCAAAAAAGTGTTTACAAGTGGTACAAAGACTTCAAAGAAGACCGAGAACGAGTTCAAGACGAACAGCGCTCCGGACGACCATCAACATCTACCGATGAAAGCCACGTCAAGGAAATCAAACTGTTAACAAGGAATATTATTTGAGTGTTATGCGTCGTTTGCGTGAAGCTATTCGCCTCAAGAAGCCAGAATTATGGGCAGACAATTCTTGGTTTTTGCACCACGATAATGCATCGTCCCACACTGCATTGGTTCTTCGAAAACTTTTCGCCAAAAATTCGACCCATATCATTCCACAACCACCGTATTCGTTTGATTTAGCACCGTGCGACTTCTGGCTGTTCAACAAACTCAAAAGACCGCTCCGGGGACACCGTTTCGACTCGATTGAGGAGATAAAAGCCGAATCGAAGAAAGTATTGAAGGCCATCCCGGAAGAAGACTTCTCTGACTGTTTCGAGGATTGGAAAAACCTTGGCATAAGTGCATTGTGTCGGACGGGGAGTACTTTGAAGGCAATGAAATTGATTTGGAAGAATAAAGATTTTTCATTTTATAAACAAATTTACCTTATTTTTTTATCACAGTAGTACATCAAGTAATGCGAATGTCAGCGGTATGTCAACTTTGAAGCTTCATATTTTGGGAATGGCTTACGCAAAAGACAGAAATAGGTAGTGTTTTAAAAACGTCTCGACAAGGGCTATAAGAATATGCAATAAAAATAGGAGGTTCCATTTAGGATTTTAAAGTTGACTTTTACATGACCTTCAAACGACAATCCAAGGTCAAGCCAAGGTCACCGTCAGATGTCCCCCTTTGAACCCTACAACTTTTGTTTAAAACATTTTTCGCGATCTGGTTTACCTGACGAAATATTTCCGATTGTCGATTAAAATGGACCACCTTGTATATAAAAAAAAAATAGTGACACTTCTGATAATGGCTCATAATATGTCAATCTTGAATAATTCTGCCAATTTTCAATGGATTTGCACACAACTTGGTACTCTCAAGATTTTTGGGACGCTAACTAAGAATCTGGAGTCAAATTTGAGAAATTCAAAATGGTGGATCCAATATGGCGACTTCAAATGGCTAACTTTGATATAATATTATAGATATGTATCAAACTCGGTATATGTATGTTTTATTGATCACAGGTAACAAAATACAGAGTCGAAATAAAAAAATAAAAAATGGCGGATCCAATATGGCAGACCAATATTTTTGCTTCTGGTGACTAACGGTATTTCATTATATAGGGTGAGTATTTTTAATCTTAACAGGCAAATGTTTCGAAAATATGCAATTTTACAAAAAACTTTTTAAATAAAAGTTATATGATGTCGAGGGGGATATATAATAGTGACCTTGGTTTGACTTTAGGACATCTACTTAAGGTCAGAGGATGGTCAACCTAATTTTCTCAAATGGAACCCGCTAGTTTTCATATATTCTTATAGTTGACTTCAAGACCTTTCCAAAACGCTATGATAAAGTATTTTTTTATTGAGTACTTTCATGGAAATCGAAAATCTTTTAAAATTTGGTCCGCTGTATTGGACCCGCCATTTTGAATTTTAAAATTTTGACTCAAAAAACTACTTATAGATAAGTTTACGTATAAAATACGACATTATTTGCTCTTACCAGTTTTGGTACAAAACATTGATTTCGATTCATCAGTGAACTGGTTAAGTTTGAAGAGATGCAAATGGATTTTTTCTCATTTTATGGAAATTTTATTCGCGTTATTGTAACAAGTTTAAAATCCCACGGAAATGCAAAAATCCGTTATTGATGTTTCGTGCTATATAGTTTATTGATTTAATCTGCATTTTAATACGTATAATTATAATTTTTAATCTATCACGTGCTAATATATCTAGAGTAAACTTGGTATTCTGTCTGTTTAAGACACGCGTCTATATTTTATGGCGAGTTTTTATTAAGTTATCAGTGAATTTAGCTGAGAAGAAGATTTTATATATTTTTATCTCGACTTAACAGTTGATATAAACAACTCGTATAGAACACATTGCGTAAAAACCAATAAGAAAGGAAAGAAGCAACTATTCTATTTGAATATATGCGCAAATTGCAATGTACCGTGCATGTATTCTTAATCAATGTATCATTAAACAATTTATAACTGATGCGATAATATTTATTATTTATCTCGAGTCATAAGACATTTTAAGCGTGAAAATAATGAAGACTAACGTTCTTCTTGACTGACGAATTTCTTTTGAATTTTAATTACAACAAATATCTCACAATGTATTCTATCTACGGGTGTCGACGTATTAAATGCTGATACGGAGCAAATGGTGGAGCAGAGAAGAGAGTACTACACAAATTGATATTATTGGGATAATTTGTTGCAATATAATTTAAATATTTTTATATCTTTTTACATTTCTGCAAGGTATTTAGTGATAGTATGTTTTTTTATTTGCACAAGAAACGTACGCAAGTTGCGCACAAGACGCATTGTCGTTATATTACGTTTATAGCATGTTGCTAGACTGGAGGTTGAGTAATCACGGATGCATTTATATGCACAATTTATTACGTAAACATAATATATTATTTATCGTCTCTATCGTCATAAGTTAACGAGGTTTCCAATTCTGACAGTTGATAAAGTATTGAGATCCCGTATTATAATTTCAGTTGAGGAATTCCGTATAATATTTCCGTATAATATTGGGTTCAGTAAAAAGTTTTGAGCGTTTTCCGCTAGATGGCTTTAGTAAGGTCATATCTCACGATGTATATGTCGCATTTGGTCATTCTATACTGCGACTTAAAGGTGACATAACATTTTAAAAAAAGTTTTTTGACAGTTTTATGTTTGGTGAAGCCAGTTGTGTGTTAGAGCGTTCCAAAATAGAGATAAAAAAGAGAAAATTCGATACATTCTTCAATACCACTACGACCAAAGGGAAAAAGCGGAGCAGGCGGCCAAAAAAATTTGTGCTGTTTATGGACCCAATACAGTATCGAATGCAACAGCAAAGCGGTGGTTCCAACGATTCTGTTCTGGTAATATGGACGTCGAAGATGAGACACGCTCTGGTAGGCCAATCATCGAAAATGTCGATAAAATCATGGAAATCGTCGAGTCGGACCGGCATGCGAGCACTTATTCCATTGCCCAGGAACTGAAGATTAGCCAGAAAATCGTTCGGAACCATTTGCATAAGGCTGGTCTCAAGAAGAAGCTCAATGTATGGGTGCCACACGAATTGACGCAAAAGAACCTTTTGGACCGAATTCATGCCTGCGATTCTTTGCTGAAGCGTAATGAAATCGACCCATTTTTGAAGCGGATGGTGACTGGCGATGAAAAATGGGTCACATACGAGAACAACAGGCGAAAAAGATCGTGGTCCAAGCGCGGTGAGCCGGTCTAAACGATCGCCAAGCCCGGATTAACGACCAAGGTTTTACTGTGTGTTTGGTAGGATTGGAAGGGAATCATCCACTATGAGCTGCTCCCATCGGGCCAATCACTCAATTCGGACCTACACTGTCAACAACTGGCCAGATTGAAACAGGCGATCGACGAGAAGCGGCCAGAATTGGCCAATAGGAAGGGTGTTGTGTTCCATCAAGACAATGCCAGGCCGCACACATCTTTGACGACGCGCCAGAAGCTCCGAGAGCTTGAATGGGAGGTTATATCGCACCCGCCGTATAGCCCAGACCTGGCTCCAAGCGATTATCACCTTTTCAAGCATTTGCAAAATTTTCTTGATGGTACAAAACTGGCCTCAAGAGAGGCTTGTGAAAATGAGCTGGTCAAGTTTTTTACCAATAGGGACGAGGACTTCTTCAATCGCGGAATTATGAAATTGCCTTCAAAATGGACAAAAGTTATCGAACAAAACGGCGCATATTTGATCTAAATCTGATAATCCTAACTTTGTTAATTTCATCGTCGAAATAAAGAGAAAAAACGCTCAGAACTTTTTACTTCACCCAATATTTCATAGTCTCCAAATCTCAAACGTCAGTTATTTATTATAATTTCGATATTGTAATTACCAACGCTCAGAAAAAAATTCCAAAGCGGCAAGGGAGATTCCATTTAGAATTATGGTTTTGTCATAAAGTTGAAGCTATGTGTATGTTTTAAATTAGTAAAAGGCCTCGCATATAATTATATATGATTTTAGATCTCGGTGGAATCGGCTAGTTTCCACATATTTTGTAGCTTATAATTAAACAATATAGCTGCTGGATAAACAATGTAATAGGCTCAAGGCTAAATAATAGAGCTTTTGAGTTATAGTCAATCAAAGAGGAAAAAGTCGAGCTGGAATATATCGAAAACCTTAGAAGAAAATCATTGTTTTTATTGATCCCAGAGGAAATTCTCACACATGCTCTCCATATTGATTCATATATATATCGTCTCATACATATATGCATTACATATATTACATATATTAGGTCATTAAGTTATGAAATGTCCGATTTCGAATCCAAAGTTTGGTTTATTATATTTCAAACTAGAAGTAGTCAATTAATCAAAGCATACGCCTAAACTATCGACATAGTTTTACTATCTTAACGATAGCTTACCAGGTCTGTAAATATGAAACCGGAATTTGCCCATAGATGGCCCTAGCTGTCAATGTAGTTACCGTCAAACCGCGTCATTGGCGCCATTTCCATTTGTTGACATCTGACAAAGATTTTCAACTCATAATAATATAAGTTTCATAAAACAGCATAGTTTGTAATAGCGTTGAACATGTCGAATTTTGTGCCTGGAAGCTACGATTTGCGGACAGCATTGATTTTCTGTTATCATTTGAAGAAAACTGCTGCAGAATCGCATCGAATGCTTGTCGAAGCTTACGGTGAGCATGTTCTTGGTAAATCACAGTGTTTTGAGTGGTTTAAAAAATTCAAACGTGGCGATTTTGACGTGAGAAACGAAGAACATAGAAGACCACCGAAAAAGTTTAAAGACAGTGAATTGCAAGCATTGTTGGATGAGGATGACGCTCAAATGCAACAACAATTCGCGGATCAATTAAACGTGACACGAGAAGCCGTCTCCATACGTTTGAAAGCCATAGGAAAAATCCAGAAGATGGGAAAATGGGTTCCACATAATCTGAATGAAAGACAGCAGGAGAACCGAAAAACCACTTGCGAAATGCTGCTCGCCAGGTACAAAAGAAAGTCATTTCTCCATCGAATCGTGACTGGCGATGAAAAGTGGATATATTTTGAGAATCCTAAGCGTAAAAGATCATGGGTAACTCCAAGCGAACCATCGACATCGACTGCAAGGCTAAATCGCTATGGACGGAAGACAATGCTCTGTGTTTGGTGGGATCAGAAGAGTGTGATCTATTATGAGCTGCTAAAACCTGCCGAAACCGTTCATACTGAACACTACCGACAACAAATGATCGATTTGAATCAAGCTTTGCGTGAAAAACGACCAGACTATCAAAAAAGGCAACACAGAGTGATTTTGCTTCATGATAATGCACCATCACACACAGCAAAACTGGTGAAGGAAACGATTGAGGCGTTTAGTTGGGAAATACTTTCGCATGCGGCTTACTCACCAGACTTGGCTCCGTCCGATTACTACTAATTTGCATCGATGGGACACGCACTTGCTGAGCAGCGCTTCACTTCTTACGAAAATGTACGAAAATGGCTCGATGACTGGTTTGCCTCAAAAGAGCAACAGTTTTTTTGGCGTGGCATCCACAAATTGTCAGACAGGTGGGAAAAATGTATAGCTAGCGATGGGCAATACTTCGAATAAAATATTTTTTATCATTTTCATACAATAAACGTGTATTTTCTATATAAAAATTCCGGTTTCATATTTACATATCTGGTATTTATATCAGCAGCGAAGAAGCCTGAAGAGCAGATGGCGATGAAATCGCGGAAGGCGTTTCCCACAGTTTGTTAAGAATTGAATATTTTTCCTTGTAAAAAACGGTCTAATGCCTGGAAGAAGTGGTAGTCAGTTGGTGCAAGATCTGGTGAATGTGGTGGGTTGCAGAGAGTTTCTAGATTTAATTGCTGTAATTTGAGAAATGTTGTTTCTGTGACATATGGTCGAGCGTTGTCTTGCAAGAGGATTGGCCTGTCTCTATTGACTAATCTCGGCTGCTTAATCGCAAGCATCCTCATCATTTCGTCCAGTTAGTTACAGTAAACATCCGCTGTAATTGATTGACCAGGTCTCATGAAGCTATAGTGGATAATAATACCAGTGCTGGACCACCAAACAGACACTATTAGCTTTCTTTTGTGAATATTCGGTTTTGAGCTGTGTTTCGGCACTTGATCTATATCTAACCGTTGTGCCGAACGCTTGCGATTATCGAAAAGAATCCGTTTTTCATCACACGTAATAATACGATGTAAAAATGGCTCGCCTTTATGTCGTGGTAGTAAAGAAAGGCAAACATCAAGATGATTTCTCTTTTGATGCTCGTTGAATGCATATGGCACCCATCTATCCAGCTTCTTTACCGTGCCGATTTGTTTCAAATGATCCGATATTGTTGGAATAGCAACATTAAACTTTGTTGCTAATTTACGCGTAGTTCGAGATGTATCCACTTGCACTATAGTTTTCAGTTCATCATCATCCACTTTGGCCTCGGGTCGTCCACATGGTTCATTTTCAAGATTAAAATCGCCTGAACGAAAATTCTCGAATCATCGACGTACTGTGCGTTCATTAGCCACACTTTCCCCAAACACTTCGTTAACATTTCGGGACGTTTGTGTCGCATTGGTTCCACGACGGAACTCATATTTGAAAATAATATGAATTTTTTATTTATCCATTGTTATACAAAAAATGCTGTAGCAAGAACAATTCGAAAGATAACCATCACCAAAACATGCGTTTGAAAGAGTGGTACCTTCACAGCAAAAAAAAACCAAGAATGGTAAGAGTGAAAAGATGTCAGAGATATTGACTGTTGAACTTAGTACTTAAGGAAATTGGAAATTTCATATTTAATAACCTAATATATAAGGCGTCCCCATTTTATTTTTGACAGTTAAATATCTCGAAAAATATAAAAATATAGAAAAACGTTTTATATAAAAGTTGTAAGATTTTGATGGTGACTTTGACCTTGACCTAAAAGTGAAATTTGAAGGTCATTTGGAGGACAACTAAAAAAGTTTAAATAGAAACCCCTATTTCTCATTGCATATGCATGTAGCTTATCTCGAGAGCTTTCTAAAACACTATAATTAAATATTTTTTTGTTAAATATATCTCGAGTTATAAGCTTGAAAGTTATAGTACCGCCGGAATTAGCGAGAAATTTCGTTCAGGCGATTTTAATCTTGAAAATGAACCATGTGGGCGACCCGAGGCCAAAGTGGATGATGATGAACTGAAAACTATAGTGCAAGTGGATACATCTCAAACTACGCGTAAATTAGCAACAAAGTTTAATGTTGCTATTCCAACAATATCGGATCATTTGAAACAAATCGGCACGGTAAAGAAGCTGGATAGATGGGTGCCACATGCATTCAAAGAGCATCAAAAGAGAAATCATCTTGATGTTTGCCTTTCTTTACTATCACGACATAAAGGCGAGCCACTTTTACATCGTATTATTACGTGTGATGAAAAACGAATTCTTTTCGATAATCGCAAGCGTTCGGCACAACGGTTAGATATAGATCAAGTGCCGAAACACAGCTCAAAACCGAATATTCACAAAAGAAAGCTAATAGTGTCTGTTTGGTGGTCCAGCACTGGTATTATTATCCACTATAGCTTCATGAGACCTGGTCAATCAATTACAGCAGATGTTTACTGTAACTAACTGGACGAAATGATGAGGATGCTTGCGATTGAGTAGCCGAGATTAGTCAATAGAGACAGGCCAATCCTCTTGCAAGACAACGCTCGACCATATGTCACAGAAACAACATTTCTCAAATTACAGCAATTAAATCTAGAAACTCTCTGCAACCCACCACATTCACCAGATCTTGCACCAACTGACTACCACTTCTTCCAGGCATTAGACCGTTTTTTACAAGGAAAAATATTCAATTCTTAATAAACTGTGGGAAACGCCTTCCGCGATTTCATCGCTATCCGCTCTTTAGGCTTCTTCGCTGCTGATATAAATAAGCTATCGTTAAGATAGCAAAACTATGTCGATAGTTTAGGCGCATGCTTTGATTAATTGTACTATTTCTAGTTTAAGATATAATAAACCAAACTTTGGATTTGAAATCGGACATTTCATATTTAATGACCTAATATATGTAATGCGTATACAGGGTTTTTCAATTGGTGCGGGTCGATGTTGGCAGCCTATGGCGGCTATGTTGTTTTGGCGGCGTCTGTTTAACCTGTTGTTTATTATTCAGTCACTGGTGCCAAATCACCAGGACAAGTTACACGATTGAGCAGCACGTCCAAATGATAAAACTTTATTATCAAAATGAGTGTTCGTTAATGCAAACGTTGCGTGCATTGCGCCCATTTTACGGCAGAGGCGGTGGCCCTTCAAAGTCGACTCTCCAACGTTTGGTGGCCAAATTCGAGACGACCGGTTCGGTAAACGATCAGCCAACACCCGTATATCAAAGGAACGCCAGATCGGCCGAGAACATCGCCGCTGTAAGTGAAAGTGTGCAGGAGAACTCGAGGCAGTCAATTCCTCGTTGTGCACAAGAACTCGGCCTTTCGCAGACTTCAACTTGGCGAATTTTGCGTCGGGACTTGGGCCTGCACCCGTACAAGATCCAACTGGCCCAGGAGCTCAAAGTTAATGACCATAGACAACGCCGTTTGTTCGCTGACTGGACTTCGGAGCATTTGGAAGAGGACCCCAATTTTGGCCGAAAAATCATCTTTAGCGACGAGGCGCATTTTTGGATGAATGGCTATGTTAACAAGCATAATTACTTGTTGTATATGGCACGACGCCATCCCACACGAGGTTCAACAGGTAGCAATGCATCTACAAAAAGTTACTGTTTGGTGCGGATTTTGGGCCGGCGGCGTCATTGGTCCGTACTTTTTCGAAAACGACGTTGGTGAGGCCACCGTCACCGTCAATGGCGAGCGCTACAGAACGATGATAACCTATTTCTTTTGGCCCAAATTGAACGATATGTACGTGGACGATATGTGGCAGGACGGTGCTACGTACCACACAGCGGACGCCACGATGGACATTCTGCATGAATGATTTGAGGGTATGGTTATCTCTCGCAGAAGTGACGTGAATTGGCCACCAAGATCGTGCGATTTGACCCCGCTAGACTTTTTCTTGTGGGGTTTTCTGAAGTCGCAGGTCTATGCCAATAAGCCACAATCGACCGATGCCCTTAAAGTCAACATAACCTAGGCCATCGCTCAAATTCAGCCGGATCTATGCGGCAGAATCATTGAAAATTGGATCGCTCGGATCCGTGCCACCGTGAGAAGCCGCGGCGGACATTTGAACGATGTTATATTCCACACATAATGGCATACATGGGCCTTTCAAATAAAAAAATAATTTCGTTAATACCTCACACACAGCTTGTTTTATTCCATTGCAGCATCGACACGCCCTTATTGAAAAACCCTTTATGTAAGAGACCAGCAACATCATCTGATGACCTTCATATTGAAAAAATACGATTTTGTGGAAAATAATCGTCGCTTAACAGTTTGTGAAATAGCAGATGTGGGAATCAGTAAAAGCTCATGACATATGATTTGGACTGAAAAACTGCCAAGTCGCCGCAAAAGTCGTTCCACGGCTGTTAACAGAAGAACAAAAACAAGTGCGTGTTAACATTAGCCAAGATCTTCTAAGATGATCAAACAACGATAATAACTTCCTGAAGAACATCATAACAGATGATGAGACTTGGGTGTACAGTTATGATGTCGACACTAAAGTGCAGTCATTGCAATGTATGGGACTATCTTCACCAAGACCGAAAAAGCGCGTAAGTTTCGTTCAAATGTTAACGTTATGTTGATTGTTTTTTCGACTGGTATGGTGTCGTGCATCATAAGCATGTCCCGCACAATCAGACTGTCAACAAAGAGTTTTATTTACAAGTGATGTGGCATTTAAGGGAGGTAATCAAGAAGAAAAGACTTGAAGCGTGGACAAACAAATCGTGGATGCTGCACCACGATCCCGCGCTCCTTATTCGAGCAAAAAATAACATGACTGTCATTCCCGAGCCTTCATATTCACCTGATTTAGCACCTGCTGACTTCTTTTTGTTCCCCAAGCTAAAGAATTCTTTAAAAGGATACCGTTTTTAGAGTATAGATGAAATAAAAAACAGGTCGCTAGAGGAGCTCAAGGCTATTCCACAAATCGCATATCAGAATGCATTCCAACAGTGGAAAAACGTTGGGAGCGGTATATCAACAGTGAATCACATTGCTTTAAAGGAGATAAATCAGATTTTCGGATCAGAAGTTGTATATTAAGAAAATAAAATGATTTTAAAAATGTTCGGTTTCTTTTTGGACAGACTTCGTATATGAAGTCATATATGAATCAACATATGGAGCATATGTGTAACTTCTCCTGGAATCAAAAAGAATAATAATTTTCCTATAAGGTTCTCGAGCCTGATATTCCAGTCTGATTTTTCTCCCTTCTAATTGACTGTAACTCAAAAACTATCCATTATTTGATCTTGAGTCTATTACATTTTTGTTCAGCAAATCATAAATTATAACATTTGTGAAAACTAGCCGATTTCATCGAGATCCAAAATCATAGATTAGTGATGGGGTTCTTTTGAACATTCCTGCGAGCAAAATATAATTGTGATGCGTGTTAATTTAAAGTTTAGATGAAATCAACAAAGATAATGAAACGAAATGAAACAAAGATATGATCGACATCTGAATTTTTGTTAACACTGGTGCTTGGCGAATCTCAATGTTGATTTAATTAATTATAAAACACATATATTGTAACTTAAAAGAATGGTGTGATTCTGTATTATATCTTTTCAACTGAAATACTTGAGAGATAAGTTATAAAATAGATTTCGATATGCTTTCTCTGGAAAGAAAATTTGGCAATTTCCTTTTGCGAAGAAAAGGAAAAGAATTAATTTCATATATAATTCGAAATTTATAATAGAACAGTAAATTCTCCGCGTCAATTTAGCAACTAGTCTATTTCGATAGATTCATTTAAAGTGCTTCGCAATGATATAAGCGACTGAGTAAAACCTCTTCAGCTGCTTGATACTTTTCCTCGCGAAGAGAAATTAGTTGCAAAGTGCTGAGAGATTCTATACATGACCACACAAAAAGTTGGCATTACATTATCTTTAAGGATATGGCCTATATCTTGAATAACTTTACATAAAGTTAGCGTAAGACATTGTTTCATGATGATGTTTTATATCATGATAAAGTAGCAGTGTACACTTTTTACACATCTTATAAACGTTAATATATAATACTATATATATATATATACACACCGGGTGGCCCAAAAGTCGATTACTGATTTGAAAAATTCGCAACTTTTTTCACAGTAATATATACTATGTTGAAAATTGTTACTAGTATATTGAAACTAGTATGTTACTAGTATGTTGATACTAGTATGTTGAAAATTTCTGCAAATTATACTTAAGAACTCAAGAAAGTTCGAAGTAGTAACCGACTTTTGAGTATTTATAACTGACCTTATGTATTCGATAAAAGATTACAATATGACGATAAAAACCTGAAAGGGTTATCAATACCTGTAACATAAGAAATATTAGATAGGCGTTAACAGGCATTATGATTGTTATATTTTATAACAACTTTTAAGGGGGAAAAAAGAAAGAAGAGTTCATCTCGTAAGCTTTATTCGTAGAACTTCGTAGAGCAGTGTCCGCGCATGCGCATTGATCTATTATACATATATATTGTACTTAAGAATTCACAATTACGCTGTGCAAACGTAATCTAAGTCAGGCGTACGATCAACACATCTCCTGCTCATGAAAGCAAAAATGCATTTATTATGTATTTAGCAACGCATTTAAATCTCTCTCCTGTGAGACGTACGACTTAAGATAGCGCGAAAATTCGCATCAGAAACGAACGTTGTTAATCGTAATCTCTCGTATTCTTACCGTACGCACTAATCTTACGCTTTCGTGCGTTTGTTTTCAAAAAGCAGGATATATAAATTATTTAAATATATATATATATACATATAAGGATAATGTTCGTAATACATAACATTTATATTGACTCACACAATTGTACACAGATCACACAACTCTTTATATCTCATTCGGCAGCCTTGAAAAACTTTCGAAACTGGCTTATGATAATCGAGTGAAATGTTGCGATTAAGGAAAAAAACATTAAAATGCGAGCGTCGCGAACGATACGTAAATGGGATCGCCGCAGGTTGCGTACTTAGTGCCAGGTGAAAGTTCCAATTTACATGTGTTATAATCTTTATCCTCGTAGCGGTAACGAAAGAATAACGATATGTGGCAGGCGGTGATGATGCGATTCGCGTTTCTCTTGTGAAGCTACAACAATGTGAAGCGAAGAAGTAGGATCGTAAGAAGAACACGCGAGACACGGACGAAGGACTACCGTGATGGTAGTCGTGACGCTGGTTTTCCGCGGATCTGCGAGTTTTGTATAAGAACGATCTTTACGTAGAGGATCTTTACGTAGAGGAGAAATTCTGTAAGGATCCAGGAACGTAAAATAAACGACGATTCGTTTGGAGACATTCCTTGTGTTGCTCTCTTTTGCTGAACGCCTTCCACATTATTGTTTCTCTACCCGGCGAGTGCGTTTCTCGTTCGACGGAGCTTGAAACGACGTTAATGTCACGAATGCAGACTCAGCGAGATGATGACGGAGAAGAAAAGAAGAAGAAAGATGCGAAGATGGCTTCCTATCTCTTCACTGTTCTTCTCATCCTCGTCATCATCGTCGCCGTCGTCGTTGTCATGACCAGCGCATGAAAACGTCATCGCGCATCGTTTCGTTCTCTTTAATCCTAACAGAACTTTTGCCGGAAATAATGAGTGTCCTCTCGCGCGTGTCCTGTTGCTGTCGCGCGGCTTGTCAGGCAGTATCCGAATTACACAGACGACTGCGGCGCAGCAGCCAGCAGTTCACAAAAGTTGGTGTATTATTCAGCTAGAAACGCGACCGCGACCGGTCGTCTCGGGAGAATGAGGTGCATTTTCTTCAGCGGACAGTGATCACGATAGAACGTCGTCGTCGTTACCATTCCCTCGCAAAATGTCCGTGCACGATACCCTTTGTGCTCTGTGCCTCATCACACTCCTTTTGAGTCTCAACCTGGCCGAATGGGTGGACATACCGCAATTCTCGGATGAAGGCAAGATTTACAGGTAAGCCTCTTCTCTTATCCTGAGAGAAACATCCTGAGTCATACTCTTCTTATTCTTCAAGCTGTACAGTCCAGTCATCTTCGTGATCATTCTCATTTCGAGTCGTTCTTTCTGATGTCGCTTTCTCGTCCTCTTTTTAGGATACCTTCCGTGCAGCAAGATCAGTTCTACAAATTCCGACGAAGTCATGTGGACAGCCACGGCTTCCCGGACAATTCGCGAAATGGCAGCCGGGTTTTCCATCGTCCAATCGTCAAAACCGTACACGCGATGGCCGAGAAAATCACAGAGATGAAGAAAATACATTCCGTTCCGGAGTCGACGATGACGTCGTATCTGTTTCCTATACAAATCACTGCCGCTTACTCGAACATGGCCGAGGAGAATCGCGGTCCGTCGAGTACCGGCGACGTTGCAAACGAGGTAATAAATTTAACAGTTGTCATAATTTACTAACTACAGGCCTCGCACCTCAAACTTCGCGACTTTAATTTCACCAAGAGTTTTCAGAGCAATTAAATTTCTTCATCAGGAATGTCAAAGCATCAATAACTTCCGAGAAATGAACAATCGAAAAATTATGACTTTTCACACATTAAATTTCAGACGATCTAATGGATAACGATAATAAATTATTTCTTCTCATCAATTTCAAGTGGACTTTAAGGAGGATATTACACGTGGAAGGCTGTTTTCAAGGCTATTTTTACGAATTTTTTTAACAGAAACGATAGATCAATTGGACTTGAAATTTTTACAATGCACTCATTAATGTTCAAAGTATAAAATAAGTTTTATTGAATCATTAGAACTGACCCAATTTGTAATTTTAGATAAAAATGTAGTCTTCCGTTTGCGAGTTTTATATTTGCTGTCGACATAATTCCGGGCTTTCCACTACTTTGAAACTAAAAATTAAGAAAGATTTCTAAAATATATGGTTGTCATTATAGCCCGTACTAAAACGAAGGCAGTGGAGGCCAAGTTTGGAAAAATAATGACTGTACAAAAAAAGGTATCGAAACTTTTTTGCACGAAAGTATGAAACTTTTTTCAACTTGTAATCATGTTTAAAAAAATGAATAAAGTGAAATATAACTGTGTTCGAGGTAGGGGCGAAAACTACATGTCTACTGTATATTGTGTAAAAATTTCAAGTTCATTCGGTTCAGCAGTTTTTGCGTAATCGTGTCGACAGTTTAAGAAAATGGTGTTTCCAGATAAACGCGTTTAAAGTTTTATGTGTACTTTCCATATAGATAGTAACAAATTTATTTTATACTTTGAACATTAATGAATACATTGAAAATTTCAAGTCCATTTATCCTACCGTCTCTGTTAAAAAAATTCGTAAAAATAGCCTTAAAAATGGCTTACTCCGCATGTAATTCTCCTCTTAACAGAATTTTATTTTAGGATTTAGTTACAAAGATATGCTAAAAATTGAGAAGTGAATAACGATTTTCTTCGATTTTAGAAGAAAAGCAATTGCCCTCAAAGAGCACCTTTGGGTAAAATTAAAGTCGCGAAAAGAGACATTCTATATGTATATATTATAATCAAGTAAATTGCTAAGTAAAAATGCATTAGTATATTATTATATTTTAATAGAAATTTAATTAAATAAATATAATGCTATTAATACAATGATATATTATGTAACGATATATACACACTCGAATAAAAAAACATAGTGTAGTCAACGAAGCTTAATAGAAAAGATAAAAGGTATACATGTACGCATGTACGCATAAATAAATAAGTACATGTACGCATAAATGACATGATAATTCGGAATAAATAATTTATATATAATTCAACTCTGGTATTTCAGAATAAGTTATCAAACAGACACCGTGCAATTTCGACAACGCGGGAGACAACGATGTACAACGCGCTTACGACTCAATTACCCCCTTCAAATATTATCCCTACACCGAAAACATTGCAGGATAAGTTTTACAATCGCACACTAAAGCAGGAGGATGGTATATTACAATATCTGCCCGTAGACATACTCAAGAGTGTCCATCGTACTCTACAGTCACAGCCGGTATCGCTCGAAGGGAAGATCCACTTCCTCAGGACATTCGAGAAAACTCTCATGTCAGAGATCGGTAGGAGCCTCTTCATAAATCTATTCTTCTAGCGAGAAAACTTCTGAGAAATGAATACTTTCGAAGTTAAGATGTGAAAATTTTGATTCTTCGCGAATTCACATTAGAGGGAAAGATGGATCCCCAGGATAGTAATCATGTAACCTTTCTCTAAAAATAAGAACATAAAAAATTCTACATTTCCATAATTTAAGAAGTTACACAATCACTCAAATCGTCGAGTTCGTATGGAACTTTTAACTCGTCGTGTTTTCGCTTATTATATACTTCACACGCGATCTCTTTCATCACAGCACTTCTCTCATCTTTTCACTTGTTCCTCACTTTATTTTTTATTCGCTCATGCAGAATCGCGTCTCACCACGACTATGGCACCGAGACGAAGGACGAGGGGAGCGCATTATCACGAACACAGTTACGACGATCACGAGGATCATTCTGTAGGATTCCCATCGATAGAAGGTGCACTTATGGCTATATCGTTCCTCACGTTCGCGGTTTATCTCGTGCGACTCGTCATGGTAAGTGAAGTATCTCAGAATTTCACTCGCGACCCGGGACGCGAAAATGCGAAACGTTTGACTTCACGTTCGCTTATCGTGCTCGTACGTGCTAGAATGAAAAAAAATCAGAGATACTTTCGAAAACTTCCTGGTACAGATGTTACGTGCATTCTTGTCGATACCAATCCCACAGACTTTTTCTTTGAGTTATCTAAAAAAAAAAAACCAATCCTTCGCAGCTTCTCTTCCGAAATATAACCAATCCGATGACCACAACGACCGCGGCTACGCTATTCCTCGGTAGAAGGAAGAGATCCACGACGGACTTCGACGACGACACCGCTAGAATACTCGGCGACTTGAACAGTTTTGTTTCCAACTTTTGAATCGCTTTAGCGATACAATACTGATATCTCGTGACGAAAGTGTACAACTGAACCAGTACTAATTGTTACAGTGTTGTGTATTCTCCTTACTCTTTATTTTGGCATACTACAGATGTCTTCGTGAGTAATCTCGGTCTCTCATAAATAAGTGGTAGCATATTTACTCATGCTTCCTATAAACATGTCACGATTAGTCTTGGCCTCGTTTGTCAACGGCATGTCGACACATTTTCATATCTCAAGTCTACAGATCTACTTCATTGATTAGTTAATTAATTAATCTGTTTAAATTACTTAAATTAAATAGACCTCCACTTATACATTAGGACCTAACTTAGTTACTTTAAATTAGTCGAATTGATTAATTAATTGTCTTAAATTACAAATTAGAAACTAATTAATTGGAATTATCAGGTAGCATCGATTAACATTCTTATCATCACATCCATCACATCCAATTACTCGAGCACGCACAGATACATTTATACGCAATCGTCTATAATTTAGCTTGTACATCCACCGACGGTAAAATGATCGAAGGGAGCGCATTGACATAACGAATCACGGGACGTCGCAATGGTAAATCGCGCAATGCACCGATGAGACTCGCCAGGTCACTTTCACTCGCGCGATATGTACCGTGTTCAGGGCACTTCTCGATAACGCCCTGCGACAGCAGAGCAGACAACGTTGTGCTGTACAGGTCGAGAGACAGGCAATACGGATGTTGACAGCAGCTGTCGCCTGTCAGCATCAACTTCTCCACTTCCTTCTGCATCTCGACGATAACCGTTCGATCCGTGAGTTCACTTGACACTATCTCACCTCGCTGAAAAGAATTTCGCGTGAGGATACATCATTCGTAATCAATAATCGAAATTGGAGGCGGTCATCGTGTTGACTCAAAAATCTCCCCATGAACACTGAACGAATGTTGATGTGAACGAAGAGTTTCTTTCATAAATGGAAATACGCAGACGAGAGAAATGTATATTCTGTGGGAAGAGACTTCTGAATCAACCTTCGAATGAGAATTTTGAATTTTTACCTCAAGCAAGGCGCACATCGCGCACACGACGTCTATGAAAGGCAGCGCGACGTTATGCAGGATAAAGAAGAGTTTTCTGTTTTCTCCTGGGAGAATCAAGTCGCCCCGCGCATGTAGGCAGTTCTCCGTCAGCAATACATCCAACGATTCTTTCCACTCCGTTTCAACGAGACCTCTATCCGTGATCGGTCGAAAGACAAACTCGGCACCCAGCAGCATTCTAAGCAGTTCGTATCGTTTCAGAGCTTCTCCTGCGAATGTGAATCAAATATATGAGTATAATGATAAATATGAATAATATCCCATTATAGACTAATGATATATATATATATATGAATATATATATATATATATATGAATAATATATCAGTGTTTCTCTCGTTTATTAATACGTTGACCGTCGCGTCAATTCAATTCCCGCTAATTATACAAAAACTCAGTCGATATATGATGACTTGCTATAGACATAGAAAATAAGGTAGTTATGCAGTATAGGGGATGACTTCAATGACTTTTAACCCTGACATATGTTGTCGAGGTCATCATTCTGAGCAATGTGCAAAAGATTTTGGGTGGCGCTCGTTGTTTGTTAAAAAGTTATCAACAAAAGAAGTTTCATTAATTGAGCGTAATTTTTCAACACTGTGTACATTTAGGTACGGTAAACTTTACAAGTATGTGAGCAGAGAGACTTAATATACCTGCATAATTACCAAAAATTACCATATCCAAACATTCCTTTTATATATTCTTAAATCTTTCATTTAAGTAGCATAGCACACGATCATATTGACAAGAGTTATAAAAATATACATTTTTGCATATATTTTGTATAAAAAATATAAATTTATAAACATATAAATTTATAAAAAATTTATCAAAAATATAAATTTATTACATGATTATAATTATTGAAAATACAAAACGAGTTTCATAAATATGATTTTTCACCTTACTAAATTAATGAGTCTACGATATATTAAAATAACAGATTCTGAAAAGATCAACAAAGACCTTTATGCAAGGTTTGGCACAAATAAATTACTTGCAAATGCAAACCTTACATAGTAGTTTTTACTATTCTTTTCAGAATTTATTTTATTATATCGTAGACTTATTATTTTAGTAAGGCGAAAGATTTAATTGCCAAACCATGCGTAACGGTCTTTGCGTCATTTCGGAATCTAGAATTTTAGTATATGGTAAACTTATCAATTTAGAAAGGCGAAAAATTTATTTGCCAAACCTTGTGTAGGGGCCTTTGCTAATCATTTCGGAATCTACAATTTTAGTATATGGTAGACTTATCAATTCAAAAAGGTGAAAGATTTAAGTGCCAAAACTTATGTAAATAAAAACGAATGTATTGATAATTCGTTTTGATGGTTCCACATATTATTCAAAAAGTTTAAATTGGCGGTCATTATTTATTACAAACGGTGGATACAAATTACGTTCATTTTGTTGAATTTCTTTTGTTGATAATTTTTTAACAAACAACGAGCGTCGCCTAAAACCTTTTGCATATTTGCACTAAGGGTGATGGTCTTGATAACATATGTCAAGGTCAAAGTCATTGAAGGTGCATCCTCTATACTATAATTACTGAAAATAAATATTCAAAGGTGATATTTATGCATATGTATCTATATTGTTCTATTGAGTCTATACAGGGTACTAAATTTCAAACGTAATAGGTAAAAAATCTCGAAAACTATGAAAGATATTAGAGAAAGCTAAAACATGTGTTCCATGATTTCGAAGGGGAAAGAGAATGGCATTATCAGTTTTTTATTTGGAGGGCATTTTCAAGGTCAATTGAAGGTCAACTTAATTTTTTAAAATAGAAAGCCCAATTTTTTATTATATCTTCTTTTTCTACCAATTAATTTTAACAACTTTTGTCTGAAACATTTTATTTGCCTAATATTTTTTGAAATATTTAAGGAAAGCTTGGTAACTTTTTCAACATTCAACTTGCGATATATCTTGCTAACTATTCATCGAAAGAAAAAATAGTATTTACTACCAAGAATATATTACTATAATAGTGCCATAATTTTTGTTAACTTATCGACCTTCGGAAATTTAAAATTATTAAATTAACAAAAGTTAGGGCACTATTATAGTAATATATTCTTGACAGTAAATAAAGTAAAAAAGTCTAATACTATTTTTTCTTTCAACGAATAGTTAGCGAGATATCGTAAGTTAAATGTGGAAAAAGTTACCAAGTTTTCCTTAAATATTTAAAAAAATATTAAGTAAATAAAAAAATATTTCAGACAAAAGTTGTTAAAATTAATTGGTAGAAAAAGAAAATATAATAAAAAAATTAGGCTTTCTATTTTAATAAATTAAGTTGACCTTCAATTGACCTTGAAAATGCCCTCCAAATAAAAAACTGATAATGCCATTCTCTTTCCCCTTCGAAATCATGGAACATGTGTTTTAGCTTTTTTAATAGCTTTCATAGTTTTCGAGATTTTTTACCTGTTATGTTTGAAATTTAGCACCCTGTATATATATACCATTGACCGTGGCAATCGACTATTCAACTTCAGATTGCCTTGTGTATAATTTGACGAGATACGGTAACTTTACAGTGACTCAGTGTTAAAAAATACACAGCCAATGAACGATGTTTTCTCTTTTAGCAACGTAACACATCCAATTTGCATCGCAAACGAGCAATTGATCTTTATCGCTTTAAGACATCGAATGTCGCGCCTTGGAAGAAAAGGAACAATTTTAGCAGAAATTGAGAAGTGCGAAAGTAAACATCGTTTCTCTGTCTTTCGAGGCACGGAAAGAAGAGTAGAAACAATATATGCTATTATTACCGGTCGACGTGCCGTGTTCTCCTATTGTCGTGGTAATTAGAGCTGCCTTCACCAGGGAAGCCAAAATCGGATTGACGTAAATCATGATATTAATGGCAGGCACGGCCACTGACATGATCGTATCTGACAGGACATGTCCTTTGACCTTGGACGTATTCATCGATTGTTTGCTTGTTTTGTGTCTCTGCTTAAGTCTCAACATATTCGACGAATCGAACACGATAAATTCGTCGTGCGGTTCCAATGACTCCAATATTTCTTGCTCGACGTTGTCATCATTGCTGTAACATAAAAGATGAAATTTGAAGGGGACCAAAACGTTCATAAAGCATTGGAAAAAAATCCATGATAAACGTAGTTGCTATCAATTTGGAAGACATTCGACGGATAGAGAAATATCAGTGGTCTGTTTTTTTAGTTGCACTGCTGAACTGGTTTTATCAGCTGCACCGCTGAACTAGTGCAATAAGTTGGAGTAAGAAAAAACATAGTTGTTTCTTATTCTAATTTATTGCACCAGTTCAGCAGTACAGCTGAAAAAAACAGACCACCGATATTTCCTCATATTGCATGAAAGCCTCACAAATATACAAATAAAAAATAAAATAAAAAAAATAGAAATAAAAAATATAACAGATAAAATACTCACGTTTGAGTCGCGGGATGCATCGACATGCCCAACGTCCCGACGATGAAGTTCTTGAACCACTGGTAGTCCTTGGCTAACGAATCGAGCGTGTATGGCTCGCTCGGACGCATTTGAATCCTCTCGTTGAGTAGCAACGCGATGATATTGATTGGCATGAACACGATGTTCTTTTTGTGCGCGTCTATAATGAGATAAGCCATGGTCTCCGAGACCGACGACGGTAGCTTGACGTGGGGTGATAACATGCGCGCCCTGCGAAGCGATAAGTCCACGTAGTGGCGGGCGGAGATCGGCTCGCAAATGTTGAAGAAGATACGGCCGTGCGAGAAAGGTCTCTGCAGTATGGATAGAGAACGAAAAAGACCAGTCGTGGTTTCTTTTGGTTTCGGGATACCCAACAGTTCGTAAACGAACAACAACTCCTCCGGCGGTCGCTCGTAACTCATGCTTATTGGTATGAATTGTATGTCAGGCACGTCACTTTGAAGCAAACTCTCCAGGATCATGGACAGCAGACCTGCGAAAGAATAATTCGTGCGAACAAACGAGTCGCTCGATCGATCGCGCATATTCAGTTGTTGACGTCTCGTTGGCTTACCGTATTTCGGCGTTATGCTCTTCTGACTGCGACTGCGGGTGCCTTCGATGAAGAATTCTATCGCCCTGCTGCTGTGACTGACGATAGTGTTGACGTATGTGCGGAAGATCTCCTTATACAGTGGATCGTTCGAAAAGCTACGTCGCATGTAAAATGCCCCGGTCTTCCGCAATAATTCTCCTACTATTTTCATCTGATAAAAATCAATGCCACTGGCGATATTCGGTAATGCCATGTCGTAGGAAAAAAGAACATACGACAACAGTATGAAGTCCAAGTAACTTCTGTGACTTGGCACATAGATGTACTGTACTTGTGACATTTGCATTTGTTGCTTCAGACTGAAAAGCCTGCATTCGTTCACATAGATTTTGGAGAATATTCTCTTCATAGCTTTTGTTATGAAAATACCTGGAATTCAACCGCAAATTTAAGAAGTATTGAATAATAATAAATAAATATATTGGAATTTATCAATTTGAGTAAAAAATTATAAATACCTAACCAACGAACTGTTGCCAAGTCCTCTTTACTAGCCATCTCATTCAAAATACAACGTGCATTCTTCTCAATATTCTTAATACTGACACCATTCGCAGCTGCTAACTTTTTAATTGTGTGTCTAACTCGTTCATTAGACAAGATATACTCTATTATCTTTTCCCTCGTGTATCTTGACTCTGGTGGTAATTTATGGGGTAGCAATGGGTTCATAGGTCGTGTAGCCCATGAAATATCGCAATCCTTTCGTCTCTCCACCAGTATATCCACAAATACATTACTTTGCTCCATCTTTCCAGGCAGGTGTAGAGATACTAAAATGTTAACTCATCCAATTGCAAAAACATCACATACACGCACACGGGCGCGCATACAGTAACAAAGGGCAAATATATAATTAGCATTTACATATGCGTTTACATAGCATATAATTAGCATTTACAAGTCAAGAATATTAATAAATACATTCCTTCGATTTGCATGGTTAGGAGACATCAAAAACGTTCCGATGGGAAAAACATAAGATTCCTCATTACTCAAGATTTCTCATCAAATACTATAAATACAAAAAGATTACCTTTAAAGGCTCGTCTACAATAGCTGTAAAAATAAGGCTGTAAGGCTGTAACGTAAGCTGTCAGCGAATGAAAATATTTCATTTCATGTCTTATAACCTTACAGCCTTACTCTTATAGCTAATGTAGACGAGCCTTAAGAGACTGCGAATATGATGACAGTCATGAATAAACAAATCCGGCGTGAAGTGTAAACAAAAGTCACATGTGTGTGTAAAGGAGCAGAGGTGAAGGGGATGATAGTTCACCTTAGGACGTGCAAATTCTTAAGCCAGCGGCACACGGTGCTTGTTTTCGTGCTGGATTGCTTGCTGGATGAAAATACTGCGTTCTGATTGGTGCATTTCCATCCATCTTCGGAAATGTACCAATCACAACGCAATATTTTCATCCAGCAAGCAATCCAGCACGAAAACAAGCACCGTGTGCCGCTGGCTGTATGAAGCAAAAATGATTAGCGTTAGCAGCGCTCTCTGAGATGGGACATGTGAGAAATCGGAACTAATTTGTGGCCGCCATATTGCTACAGTTGCATTCGCTTTAATGCTTTAGTGCTTTAAGCCTTCAATAAGAAAAAAAAGTGTTACGAAGAAGAGGTGTTACGAGGAAGAAGCACGAGAAGAAGCAGGTGCGAGAAGGAAAAACTTTTAGTATTACTGCCAGTAACGACAACTAAAGTGTAAGTTTTGTCTTTATATATTGTATTGCATTTATATATAAATATTATGCATTAGTATAATTGTCAACTTTTTACTAACAGAGACTAATAAGTAAAAAATAAAAGTGAGCTTTGCAATATGCTAACATAACAAGAGCAAGTTTGATAAAGATTGTAGAAATTCTTAGCGATGCATGCCTGCAAGAAGTTTGTGCTTAGTTTCTGCTGTTAATCTGCTGCTAAAAAATTTGATACACCTTGTGTACGAGTTATTCCAGCAGATTGATGACTGAAAACAAGAAGAATATGTTATGACTATCCTTGAATGTAATGTCAAATCATGTTATATTAGCTGGTTGCTTTTTGAACATGAGCTGCATACAGGCATAGATAGCTAAAATTTCTTCATGGAATCTACTCTATATATATATAAAATTTATGAAGATATTTATGTACTCTCTCTCTCTCTCTCTTGCAGAAGGACTACAAGAAGACTTCAACAAAGGAAGAAGAAAACAAGAAGAAACAGTTACTCAAGAACCACCAAAATCTTTTCCCTGTTAGCGACAAACAACTTGTTTTATTTGAGTATGCATGATACTGTAATATTGTATACTGATGATGCAAATATCTGTTTAACTAAATACAGGTTTATTTTTTTTATAGGTCTCATAACAGCAGGATCAAGATGGTACGAGTATGTTGTGTACCAAGATGTTCGACAGGGAAGACAGCACCATCGCATAAATTCTCACGAAATGCTGAACGTAGGCTACAATGGTTCAAGAATTTGAAAATGGAGCCAGTAGAGGGACCTGAGGAGAAAAAGTTATGAGTATGCTACAACCATTTTAGGGACAGCGATACTATACAATTTTATTACAAATTTCTTTTAATATTATTATAAAATTTAGTATTATTAACAAATTATTGTCCTTATATTTATGTTTAAGGTATTAATATTTTCTTTATGTATACATATTTACATTTTTTTCGTCAAATATATACATTTCATAGAATACACATTATTTTCTGCATTTTTACTTCGCACTAATATTCCTCGTATTTCCTATATATACTATACGCACATATGTGTAAATATGTATGCATCATAGACATAGTAAGAATAGACTGCGCGTGTACTTTTGTGAAGACTGAAGATCAGGTAGAAAGAGACAGAAAGCAAGTGCCGAGTATCTTTCTTTCTCTGCTCACGCATGCGCAGTGATGCGTAGTAATATAACGTGCTATATACATGATGTTAGATTAAAAAAAGTTGTGTAATGTTAAATAAAACCGTTTAAAATTTAGAGATAAATGTGTTTCAACTATTATAAACTACGTGTAAACATTTATATTGAAACGATTAAATATTTTATACATGAATATGTGTGGAAAAGTTGTAATAAAAATATCAATATTACAAAGTAATATAATCTTTATTAAAAAAATATATATATATATTTTTATATAAGTTGTTGTTTATTTATTGATTTTTGAACAAGGTTATTTTATTATTTTTCATCCGAACTCGTTGTATCGAATCTGCGAATGATGTACTTTCATGTTTTAAAATTAAATTAAAAAATGTTTTCAAAATTAATTTAATTATTTGGTTTCGGTGATCAAAAAGTGGACTTTGATCGAATATATGATTATTATAGTCAAATATATAACAGGAATGCAGCGTACAGCCTCACATATGAGATGTGCAAGAATATTTTTATTTGTAAATAGTCTATGTTGATTACATCGTACTATTTTATATGCTATCTTACATATCGTAATCACATCATTTGATGCATCACATAAGTTGCCTCGATCCTTTATCTGTATAAGTTTACTGGTACGCTCTATATTCAACTGTTTATATGTATTATTTGAAAGTAATTGCTTGCATTCTGAACAATTAATTCTTTTCATAATAGTTTTAGCAACATATCCTGATATGTAAGCAATGATTTCTTCAGCATATTCATTAACTTTTTTATCATGTAATACATAATTATGCTCAATAAAGATAAGATCTGAAGGTTCATCTTCTAAAGATCTTTCTTCTAAAATAGTATCTTTATTTTGTTCTACATTGTTCGTTAATTGTCTGTATATCATTCGTAGATTCATGTGAAAGTGTTAGCAATACAGTATCATCTTGTGGAATGCAATTAGCATTCAATGAGATTGACACATTCGCTAAATGCAATATCTTTCTATATGACACCTTAAATTGCTTTACGCTAAGATTATTATTCCAACCATGCATTCTTCTAATCAATGAAAAAAAAGTTTCGATATGGTCCTGTGATAATTTATAAGTAAGAAGAAAGTTTATTGCATTTACATTAAATAATTCTTCTGCTAATGCAATAACGTTCTGCAAATTAATTATAAATCCAATGAAACTTGTTTTGAGGATGCTTTGTAATACGGGAACATCATTTATTGTTAAGGAAGCAATGTAATGCATAAAAGTTTTAGCTTTATCTTTAATAGTACATAATGTATTTCTTGTTATTGCATGTTTATTTTCAGTTTTATTGTATATGTTACGTGAATTTAAGATATCAAATATGTCATTGAAAGTTTTACAAAATGTTGCAGTAGTTGAAGCTCCTATAAATCTTGGTTCTTTTAATTCATATTCTAAAAACGTCAATGCATCAGCCACAGAATTACTTAATGTTTGTGCTGCTAGATTAACTTTCATCTTTTCATTAAAAAACTGTATATGTCTTTTTCGCATTTTATTGGCAACATGTAATTTTTCCACAGTTTGCATATTTACTAATTCTTTCAGAAAGTTCCAACTTATTACATTTTTGTCTTTATCTTTAATAACCCCTTTACTAATTGCATTCCTCACAAGCTTCAACATGTGACATGCATCATAAAAAATATAAATAATTTTAGATTTGTCAATAGGATGCTTAAAATATGGAACATATGTTCAAAATTGACATGTTTTAACTGTGCGCCTAGTATCTCGCACATTGCAATATTAGAAGTTGCTCCATCAAATGTAATACTAACAACGTAAATTGCTTTTTCATGGAGAATACTTAAAATGTTATTTAACAAATTTGCTTTTTCCTTACCATTTAATGCCTCGATAACATAAAATGCAATTGGGATTTTAAAATGATCATTTATGCACACTAACATAAAAAAAAGAATATGGGTAGCAAGTGGCAGACTGTCAGACTTACTATCTTTAATACCCGTTTCAATAAAATCGTGTAATTCTTTGCCGTCCCAACTTTTTTCTTAATATTCATTTCATCAAAAGTTATATTGAAAACTAAGTTTTTTCCTTTCTCTCTAGCATTTTGCACCTTATCGAGTTTAGTTTTAAACGATTGTTCAGATATACCGAAATTGCTACGAATTGTCTGCTTGCGCAGTGTACTGGGGTGAGGTAAACTTTTTAAAAACATTTTTCTTACATACAAATATGCTGCAGGCGAATGAAAATGTAACGTGCATGCAAAACTTTTTAAACTTTCGGGGAACGACTTTTTTCGCTTCTTATTTAACATTGTAAGTAGCAACTGTTGCATAACAGGTGACAATATATCCTAAATAAAGAAAAAGGAAGTACAAAATATAGATATGAAAACAGAAGAAATCAAGGAGACAAATAGTTGTACGCATAGACATATACATAATAACTTATTTAGAACGAAGATATAACATCATTAGTGCATTTGTAGATTTGTAAATTGAGAGGGTATATGTATACGCACAATATTTGTTATATCATATTTTTAACATGATGTAGAAATCAAGTATTGTTCTATCATTTGCTTCATTATCATGGACCTTTCTATAAGAGTTAATATTATGATGAAGTTACATTGTGATTGGAGAGTTATCATGAACTTTCTTATAAAAGAATAAACATTGTGGACAATGTGAATTTCAAATCTTTCTGCGAATGGAAAATAGCTAAACTCAACTTACTTTGATTGCATCTATACTATTATTTGTTATAAAGTTTTTACTTTTCAGGTCCTGAAGCAAATCTTTATAAGTTAAAACTTTCTTTTGCATACGGTTTTTCTTTTGCCACATATTTTTTGTTTCATTTCGAATATATGACACATATCTTACAAACTGTTCCCATTTTGCATCAGACACAAAATCTGTTTTACGGAAGCATTTTGTAGCATGTTTAGAAGTGTTTACAAATATTTTTTTAATTTTTGAGTTTCTAAAATTCTCTTGTGACAATTTCCTGAAAATAAAATTTTGATAATTTATAATTTGTTGGAATAATACTCGATAGGAAAAATTATTTTAATCTTTAGATATCTCACCTTTTTCTACTGTGATTATTACTATGGTTGCTATGGATGTTTATGTTATTAACATCTTCTGCTACATGTGTATGTATATCTGCATCTGTGTCCATAATGGAATTCTTACTCATATTTTCACTATAAAACAAAAAATATTCACATACATTAATGTTTTATCTTATATATTACGATAACTTTATTTTCCTTTTTGGTGTATATCTTAGTGTATCTTTAGTGTTTCTTACCTATTTCTTTTATTGTCTATGTCATTATTTTCTGCTGTATTTGTATTTATATCTGTGCTTAAATTGGTATCTGTATCCTTCTCCACATGTTTACTACAAAACAAAATATTTCAATGTAATGGATTTATTGCATCTTCCTGTAAGATTATTACATGTATGTTCTTATTTATAATTTAACATTCTCACCAATTTTCTTCCACAAGAATTAATGGAACTGCAGTCTTTCTCAATATTTTATTTTGTTTATATTCATTCATTTCATGATAGTCATTTTTTGTAAAGTGGTCACTGCTCCTTTGTTTTTACTCCTTTGTAAGATACATCACGGTCAATAACGTGAAACCATTTTTTTCGCATTTCTTCATTTTTTAGGATTCTGTAAATTTTTTACATATATATTTTCACTTATATATATGTGTATATATATTATTAATTACGATATGTTTACATTCATATTGAATACAAATATATTTTTTAAATTACTTATGAAATGATCGTGGATAAAGAGGGTTTTCTTCCACACCACAAATACAGCACGTAGTAACTATTTTTTAAATTATTTTATTCCTTGTTTTCTCCGTGAATATGTATATGCTATGATGCGTCGACGGATTCGATTAACTGTAGTCAACAAAAACTTTTAGCAACACACCAGCACTGACACAACAATGACAGAATAATCAGTTTTTCTTAAATGAAAATGCGAAACGAATGTCCAAGGCATTAGAAGGAAAGTAGAGAAATAAAGCTGCAGAGAAACGCGGACAGAGCAGTTAGAGAAGATCTTCCAATGTGATTCTAACCTTCACGCTACCCTTAATCCTGCTATGACCGACATGCGCCTGTGATCGCAGGGAAATTAAGCGCGTAACAATACGTTGATACTAACTTTAAATAAATAAAGCAGAGCATCTCCTGAATCGTGCAGCAAATAAACTGGGAACCGACTACGCACCTCTTTTCAACCGCATACAGCTGTTTCACTATTCTTTTTCGCTCCCCACTCTTTCCCCACTCCTTTCCTTGTGTGAGAGAGAAAGATACTCGGCACCTATTGTCCGTCTCTTTCTACTTGATCTTCAAGTTTTGGCCCTCACACGCAGTCTATTCTTATTATGCCTATGGTATGCATAGACAGCTATACATACACACACATTGACACATGACGCCATATTGAATTTAGTACCACCGAAGAAATGTCCTATTTCAGAGAGCGCCACAAACGTTGGACGCTAAAGGTGCGTTCGGGGAGTCGCTATTAGTGCTACCAACGCAAATGCTACCAATACTGTTCGTGGAGTCAATAGCACGATAGCGATAGTAAATTTCATGAACAGCACTAGTGTAGCGTTAGCATTACTGCCAGGGGTTATAAACTCCTATTGGTATCACGGTCCTAGTGTTTGCAGCGCCCTCACTGAGTGACAGACTCACGAACAAGAACTAAGATGCATGGTGTGAGTGTCGGCCATATTGAAAAAGTACGTATAGAAATGTAAATGAGAGTGAGGAAGTGACTCAAAATAGCGGTAACAAAAGATATAGTGTAATTTTTCTTCAATTAAAAATATAAAAAAATAATATAGAAATGCTAAGAGCATGTTGTGTGCTCAACTGTACGTCGACAGGTACAATGCCATCACACACTTTCCCAAAAAATGTAGAAATGCGTGAGAAGTGGATGACAAATTTAACCTTGAAGCCATACAAAAAAACAGAAATCAGTAAATTACGAGTATGTTATAAACATTTCAAAGAAACTGATTATACCGGAAGCCAACTTCGCAGATTAATTCGGGCTGCTGTTCCTCATATGGCAACAGAAATAAGTGAAAAACAAACAAGTAGTGGATATTAAGAACGTGATATGAGACATGAAGAACGTAACATTCAACAAGAAAATATTATAGCCTTACAAGAGAATAATAAAGAATTACAAATAGATATAGATAAGATATAAAAAAAACAAGAAATTGCTATACCATTACAAGAGGATGTGAATATATTGTCACAACAACAACAGGCACAACAAGAAAATATAACACTACTGCAGAAAGACGTAGAAACATTATATCATATGCAAGCACAAATACAAACACAAGATCATGATCAATTACAAGAAATAATAAAGGAAGTAGGATCGCTGAAAACACAATTGCACTTAAAATCGCAAACAAGAAGACCAAATCTTGCAGAAGTAACACGGAAGAAAAGTTGTCTCCAACGGCAAGAAAATTTTATGATAATAATATAAAACTCCAAGCACAGAAGAGACGTATGAAATTAATGATTAAAAGAATAAAGCAACAAAATGCAAATAAAAATGTTACATTAGAAAGAAGAATAGATAAAAGCCAAGAAGATAAGACAACAAAAATCCGACAAAACTTTATAAATATGATGTTGAGAAATAATAATGTTCCACCACAGGTAATATAATCCCTTCCTCATCTTTCACCTTTTAAATTTTCCCCAGCATATACAAATATTCGATATATAATGCCTTTAATAATATTTTTAACTTCAATTGTATTGCAATATATCATTGCATTTTATTATATAATTTGCATCCGTAATATGATTTATTTTTGTACACTAATATAATTATATATATTTATATATATAATTCATATATCACATTAATATTTCAATATAGTATTCATAGTTTATATATATATATATAATTTTATATATATATATAAAATTATATATATAAAATAAAAAGAAAAAGCTATATAAACATAGGTCCGGAAATAAATCGTTTCCGAATTATAGCTACTTTTATGTTAAAATATCGTAATTTATTTTTCATGATCATTTATCATAATTTGAAACTATTCATTTTTTTTATATTTTCTTGTTTGGTCATATGATGCTTCATGATATTTATATTTGTATACATATATTGTACACAGATACCTTTTGGTATTTATATTTGTATATACTCTGAATAACGCAGAGTACGATAACATTAGACCGTTGAACATGTTGTTATTCCACGTTTAGATACGGATATTACATTCTTCATTTGATTTCAATATTGGTAAGATTTCTAATTATTCATTTCTTCGATACACTTTTTAACTATCGTTTTCTCTATTTCTTATTTAAGAAACTATAAAAAATAAAGCCAGAGGGTGCAAATGTGCATTGCACAGAATGGGCACCAGATTGAGCACTTGATGTCATAGATCGAGTTCAATAATCAATCAATCGTCCCTTTTCAGGGCCAATGATGTGCAAAATCCCATCGGCGACCTCCACGTGGTGCACATCGGGTGATGCTAATGCCGAGGGTACTGGACATGATGAGATAAAAGATTTTTTCCAAACATTGGCGGAAAAAAGTGCACGATCAACTATGCGAAAATTCGAGTGAATTCCTTGCAGCATTTCAAGAACTTTTTGTCTTCTGCAATTTCCCTCCAAATCCCATCATTCTCGAGTAAAAAATTCAGAAAGTTTGAAAATTTCAATTTTGGAGGCTGAAATTAGTTTGCGTTATAAAAAAATGCTTCAGACAAAAGTTTCATTTTTTTTACGTAGAATCGATTGCCGATGTGAAAAATAGGAGTTCCCATTTAAGAAAAACAAAGTTGACCTTGAATGACCTTGAACCCTTCACCCGAGATCAAAATTGTTGATGGCATCGAATGTCCCCCTTAGAACTGAGCAACATTTGTCTGACATTTTTTTCTGGAAAATATCATCCTCGAATTTTATTCAGCCGGCCGGATTAAAATGGGACACCCTGTATATAAATTTTATATATATACATACAAATGTATTACATACATATAAACAACATACATACAAATGTATTAATTGAAAAATGCATGCAATAAATACTAATTATATATAATATATACCTCTTTTTGAATTGTGTCCATTCTCCTTCATAAAACATAGGAAAGGCTATTTGTATAATGAATTTATCTTCCTATTTTTCTGTAATATATATATTTTTATTCGTAAGAGTAAAAAAAACAAATTAAAAAAGAATAGCAAGACATAACTAGGCGCGAACACGCAATCTGGCGTAGTACCGCGCCCAGTCTACTACGCTACACTGTCATTCGGCAATAACTCTGCAAATATTAGAATAACTGTGCATACTTAAAATCGCGAAATTTCAATTTGTAATTTCTCTCAGATGCTTGAGTGTTGCATCGTCTCCGCTTAACAATATCTTTTGCTGAATCTATACTACATTTCTGCCAAAGCTCGTCAAAATCAGTTACCCCAAGTTTGGTAGCAGCCCTTGTCAGATTATAGTCCAAAAAGAATTAGCCTCACTCACGTCGCTGAGCGAGAACGAGAGCGAGAAAGAGGGAAAGATATTCTCGCTCGCGTTGCTGAGCGAACACAAGAGCGAGAAGGAGGGAATGGGTGCATTCAGCACTACAACCGCTCACCGAGCGCTAAGTGAGCTCTTGCATCTGATTGATATATATCTTTAGATTTAAAAATATACACCATACTCAGTGAGCGGTTGCACAATGCGGAATGCACAATGATATCTCTCTGTCGCTCGGCGCGTCGACGATTGACGAGCGCGTGGTCCATACGGATAGACTGAGCCGGCTATGGTGCGTGCATGGTGGGGGAAATCAGAAAAGAGTCGTGAATATTGGCATCGTAGTTCATATACACGGTTGTACAGAGGGCGCCTCATACTGGGCTCGGCTAAAAGCGGCCCGTGACCTCTCTCCTTCTTCTCTTTGGTTTTATGGTGGATTCGATGTACGTAAAGTAACTTGGTATAATCGGAGAAATCAAATTGTTATTAACAATAATTCGTTGAAATTAGCGAACAAATATCGCACAATTTAGCCCGATCTGTACGAATATCGTATTTTTATGGCAACGAACACTAATTTTACAATTTCATCACGTGTGCATTGTGCGGTTTGCGTGTAACATTCCTGATTGTAATTTCGAATTTTTTATTTTAAATTTATTTTAAATATCAAAAAATGATTTAGGAAACTAAACATGATGCAAATTTCAACGAGTCTCTTGTTTGCACACTTGTGTATTATATATTTTGTAAAATGTGGCATATAACTTCTGATCGTTCACCTTTACAGATGGCGGATACTCCGGAGAAGGTGGCGCCGATATCGGCATCTGTAGCTGCAGCTGCAGCGACGGCGAAGAAGAAAAAGTCGCTTTCGAAACCTAGAAACTATGATTTGGGAAATGGTGTGTACAGATTTAGTCGTACACGTATGTATCACAAGAAGGCAATCTATAAATTCCTCGATAAGAAGACTCCAAAGAAAGTGAGTTAAGATTAGAGCATTTTGTTTTATTTGCACTCTGATATAATACTGAAATTATAATTGTTACATGTAATAATACTTATACAATCGAAATGCTGTGAAGAATGTAATTAAAAATTGTCTGTTAGTTTTTAAAATGATTAAATACAAGTAAGATTTATATGGCTCTTGTTAGTCCAACTTTTTTATTTTGTTTAAAATCTGTATGAATGAATTTATCATGACAGGTAAAGCCGAAGAAACGATTGACAATTGAGAAGCAGATTGGTGGTGACAAGAATGGTGAAACACGTATTGTGCTTTTGAAGAAGAGACGTGCCAATTATCCTACTGCAGATCCAGTCACTGTGCATCATGCTAAAAAGTGCTTCCGTGATCATCGTCGTTATCTACGACTTTCATTGATACCAGGAACCATCTGCATTATGTTGGCTGGTCCTCATAAGGGCAAAAGGGTTGTTTTCCTCAAACAATTGAAGAGTGGATTGCTTTTGGTTACTGGTACATGTTTATCATTATATGTCATTATATCAGCATCATCAGGGTCATTATTCTGTACATAATTACTATTGATTTTCAATTTGCTGAGTGTCATTGTATATGTGTAATTATATTTTAAAGTAATGACATCTGTTGAGCTGACAGTTATCAGTAAATATGTATGGAATAGTGGTTTAGTAAGATATAACTATGAAGGTACAATTTTCCTGGGAGAATTGTTCTTTTTTCTATGTAGTAAACACAAAACTACACATGCTCAGTTGTAATATCTTAGGATGTATTAGCAATGATATAATATTAAATCGTAAACATATAAAAAGGCTTAGAAATTAAGTTATGATATTATTCACACATTGGATATTTGATATTATCGATTCTTATAATGTAGGAATGATTTATTAATTATATGGTAATGAATCCATACAGGACCATTCTTGATCAACGGTTGTCCTCTGCGAAGAGTGAGCCAAAATTATGTAATAGCTACATCCACGAAGCTGGATCTCTCAGGCTTTGAATTACCACAACACATGAGAGATGAATACTTTAAGAGGAAGCGTGACAAGCGTGCTAAGAAAGAAGAAGGAGATATCTTCAGCAAAAAGAAGGAGGAATATACACCAAGCGACTTGAGAAAAAAAGATCAAAAACTGGTTGATAAAGCAATTATTGATATTATCAGAAAACATAAAGATAAAAAGATATTATTTGCTTATCTGTCGGCAATGTTTGGCTTGCGAAGCAGTCAATATCCACACAGATTAAAATTCTAATCTGTTAACGAATCATTCAAAGAAATAAAAAAGTGAAGTGTCTCAAGTGTGCTTTCTTGACTTCTCCATCCTTCTCTTCCTTCTTGGTCACTCCATATCTCACCATCCCTGTCCCCCTCATCCTCCTCTCCATCCTTTTCCTTATTCTCCTCATATGGAAAAGTGCCTATATAGAAAATTTTATGAATATAGTTTTATGCATGGAGGTAGGAATATCTGGAGGGAGCATATTTCTCCGATCATGAAGCCTAAGGGGAAAGGGGAGTGTAAGTCTATTGTAACGTCTATGAACTACCAAGATGGCGACAGCAGTGACGGTGATTACATGGAATATCTATTGTAACGTCTTGGAAATACAACTTCCACATGAATAAAAATAATAAATTGAATTTGATGCATTGTGAGAAAAAGTAATTTCAGAGAACAAAAATATAATCAATTTACGTATGGTTTATTATGAAATATACAAAACGTATGACAAAATAAAAATTGCATTATAAATATAATATAATTATAAAAGTAAATTATAATTTTATAATATAGTTATAGTTATAGACTATAACGCATGTCTTACTTTTTATTAACATAAAAGAAATATAAATGTAAACGCAAAAACTACCAGTAACACAATACAATGTTATAATTTTCTACTCAAGATGTAACTGTTACGTAGGATGCACATTATGATATTGTATAATTAGAAATTAGAACATGAGTGTAATGTTACTGTTAGTTATTGTTTACTAGAATTATTGTCCCTTAAACAAAACTATTTTGTTAAATGCTTGCCTTATACTTATGTTATCACGAAGTATATTACGCCCTATAAAATGTAATCTTATTTTAATATATTTAGAGGCGATTGCTCTCATAAGATGAAACACATGATTTTCTAAAATTGTTTGATCACGAGAATGTTCTTCTATATTTGAGAAAATATTTCTATTTTCAATGAGACGTTGCAAAACTTGATTCAAGAGATAAATTTCTGTAAATTTTTTTGATAAACATTTATCGCCACTTTCACGCAAAGCTAAACGAATTGCAATTTCAGCTTTAGTACAAATTACAATTACATCGTGTGAAGGCAATCTTAAGCCCCCACGATTTTTAATATTAATTAAAGAACATTCGATATGTGTTTCGTTGCCAGTAAGAGCTTCGATACAAGTTTCACAATGTAGAATTTTTTCTAAATGTCTTACAACAAAACCTGCAATATAAGCTATAACTCTCGTTGTAAATTCTGAAAGCGTTATTGTATCAAGCAAAAGAGGTAAATTTTCGTTCCTATCTTCATGATTGCTATCATCTATTACTCGAGATTTCGGAGTTGACTGATTTATTATAGTTGCAGAATTCGCAGAAACATGTAGTATTGAAATTATTTCTAGCGGGATGCAATTACCAGTTGCTGTCTCTGTGATCTCTGTATGGACAAGAATTTTTTTATAAGCGGCTTTAAATTGCCGAGCCGTCGGGTTATTGTTAGAACCTCCATGAGCTCGTACAGAGCTGAATAACAATTCAACGTGATCTTGGTTAAATTTGTAACCTGATATATATTTTAATACGTCTTGACTAACAACTAAATCTTTATAAAGTATTGTTATACTTTTGATACATATCATAAAACCGAGGAATGCACATTTATTTTTAGTTGATTATAAATCAACAATTGACCATCTGTCTTTCGTAATTGTGATAGGAAATTATAGCCTTCTTTTAATTTTTCCAAAATTATAGAACTATTGTTTTTATTTAACGGTTGTTTGAACCCTATCTGTTTCATGTTCCTCGAATTTAAGATATCAAAAAGATCATTTATTATTCGTATGAATCTTATCGTTGGGGCCGAATTTGCAAAATCTGTATATCGTAAATCATTTTTACAAATTTCTAATGCATCAGCTACAGAATTACTGAAGATTTGCACTGCGAGTTTTACTTTCATTTTTTGTTTATGGTATTGTATATGACGCGTTCTTAATTTATTACCCAAGTGTAGACTTTCCTTAACTTGAATGTCATTAAGCTTCGTAAAATGTTCCTATTGGATCATATCACCATTGTCATCAATTATTGATTTATGTTCTCCAATACAATTACGTAATAGTTTCACACAATGGCATGGGTCGAGAAATACAGTAACTTTTCTGTCCGTTATCGGATGAGAGAAATAAGTCTGAAAAGATGTAAAGTTAAAATTACATCCTAAAAGTGTGCACATGGTTAAATTAGCTGGAGCCCCGTCAAAAGTTACAGATATTATATTTATTTCATGCTCATGCAATAGTATTAATGCCTGACGAACCATATTGAACTTTTGCTCTGCATTCAGACCAGAAATAAAGAAATATCCAATGGGAATTTTCCAGGATCCATTAATACAATTTACAAGAAACACTAGTGCTTCTTTTGCTATTATACCGTATTCACAATCAATATTAGGCCCCAAGTCTATATATCCACAATATTTCTCACCATCATATTCTACATGTTGTCTTACAGCCATTTCATCGAATATAAGAGCGCCAAAAAGAGGATAATTTACTAAATTAGCACGTTTTTTAATGGACTTCAATGCTTCCTCGTTAAAACCAGGTTCACCGTGAACCGACTTGTACCATTTACTTATTGTTTTTGGATGGGGTAAACAAGTATCAAATTTTTTTCGAATAAATGCATACGCTCATGGCGAATAAAAGTGCAACGTTAAAGCAAACGATCTTAATTCTGGCCTATACTTTTTAGGCGTTGGAGTTTTATTAATCTTATTAACTTGACGTTTTAATAATTGTTTGTTGAAATTACCTAAATCTTTTAAGACATCCAGCTGTTCTGCATTAAGAAGATTTTTTTTTTTCAAACATGTCAATACATCTTTCAATTTTGCAACACACTTAATGGTTCGTCGTTGCTTTTGTTGTAACATTTTAATTTTTTTCTGAAATTCTTTTCTCGTATACATCAACGCAGTTCTCAACGATTGTTTCCGTGGCGTGTTTTCTGATAGATATGGCGAAACAATTATTCCTTGATTTTTAATTCTTGAAGTACGTGGTGTACTCGTCTGGGAAACTGTATCAAATACAACGTTGATGAAAAAATATAACTAAACGAAAAAAATTTCATAAACATTATTCTTTTATTAGGAAAAAAAAGTAACTACATATCTTGAGTAGAAATGCTAAATTTTTATTCTCTTATTCAATCTATAGTAACTAGTAACAAAACTATTAAAAATCACTGGCCAATTTATTATTAATATAAAATTTTTGTAATAGTCCGCTATCACTTAACAGTGTTTCTACAAAATGATTTGTTTTATCTATTGCAATTGATAAATATACCTTGTTCAATGTTGTCACATATTTCCATGGAATCAAGATTTTCTGCTTCTTTGATTCATGTTTCAGGATCATCTATATAATCTATATAATTGTCATTAAAAGAATCATTATATTTTATAAGAAATTATTAATAAGATTATTCATAACTCCACATCACTAAACAGTTACAATAAGATGATCACTAAATAATATATGTTTTATAATAAGATAATTATGTTTTAACATACTTTTTTCTGCATTGTGATGTATTTTTTGTATTTTTACAGGATCAAGATTCTGTTACTCTTTCATTAAATTATAATTATGTTCGTCCAATATTTTTTTTCGTTTCACAGGAGACTCGTCATTTTTCATATTCATATTATTCTGTAATACATATTTTGTTAATACATATTGTCTTACAAAATATAAAATACTTGAAACTGATAATTCTATGTCTATACATACAAATGGGACAGCACCAGATCTAATTCTAATACAATTAAGTGATGTTTTGTCCATATCACTTTCTTCAAAATGTAATGAGCAAATAAATGCATTTTCTGGAACATTACTGTCATTTAAGTCCATTCTATCAAGCCACTTTTTACGTACTTGTGGTTTCTTTGGAATTCTGTAATTATCAAATTACTTTAAAAAATGTCAACAATGATATAAAATATAATTTTACTTTGAATAATCAATAGTATTAAAACATATCTGTGAAATGTAATTAGTCTGCCATGCGAGTATTCCCATCTCAATTGTGTTTTATTTTTTCGTGTTACGTGTCTTCTGCTCTTGCAGTCTTTTGCATAACAATCAGGCATATTGCGTGAATTATTATGTGAATTTATTATTGCAAAGCACTTTATTACAGATATAAACAACTTTATTGCAAGCACTTTTATTACAAAATATGTGCAACACACACAACCTCAAAATTCTTTGGTTATAATCACGCCGTATGACGTAAAAATAGATTTGAGTTACATATATCGTATCTTATATATATGTTATTTTTGAACCACCAAGATGGCCGCTACGGATATTTCCTCTCACCTCTCAGGCTTCACTCCCCTCGCCCTCAAAAATACTTTATGCTCCCTCCAGATATTCTTACCTCCATGGTTTTATGAATGAATTTATAACTGTGCATAATAATATTGTAAATATATTTCTATGGTTAAATAAAACTTACTTCTCATTTCTTACTTTTAACATTTTCCCTCCTCTCTTCCTCTTTTTTTTCCTCTAAATCCATTCTCTCTTCTTCTCTTTCTTCTTCGCTCTCTTTCTCTCTCTCATGTGTCTCCATTTCCTACACACTACAATTCATGCCAATCATTAAAAAAGAAACATAATATACAAATAATATTAAAGGTACAAAAATATTTGGTTAACTAAAAACATCGTTCGATTTTGTATTAGGTCATTAAAGGGATCCTGGAGCGGCGACCGAACTCCAACGCGATTGCGCCCTCATCTGAGCGGAACTAATAATGTCGATAATACCGACATTTACAGTTTCGTTATCGACATTTATCGATATGTACATATAGACACGTTTCCATATATATTGCGAAAATATACATTGGGTGCGTTCACAACACTCAACAGTTGCGCAACTGTTGAGTAATTCGTCAACGTTATTGGTCTGAGTGTAAGGAACAGTAAGGACCAATAGTCACTAATCGCTCACTGAGCGGTTTTCTCCACTGAACGCACCCATTATGAAAACATATAGTATACATAATATATATTATAGATCTTCAATATTCGCAATGCATATTGAAATATAGTCTATATATAAAGTAATCATTTAGAACACACATAAAAGTCGCAGTGAAAAGTAGAAAGCCTTTTACATTGTATTCTATGTGTTGAGACATGATATCTTGAAGTTTTAGTGTTTTATCGTCCTGTACAAGTATACAAACGATTTAACAGCACATAGATAACTATTTTTGTCGCACACATATTTAGAATACAATTCCATAATATGGTTCACACTGTTTTCGCTGTGTTTCTTTCAGTGCATGTATTCTCAGAGGAATTTGCATGTATTCAACATGCAAATAATATATACTCAAACGCAAAAAACCCGGTACACTAAAAATTTGGGAAAAAATTACAAAATTTCAAATAATCATAATTTGGTAAATAATGAAGATACAAATATGCGCAGAAATGCAAAATGAAGCTTGAAACGTCCTCTTTAAGAATATCTGAATGGCAATTATGCTCGGCCATTTTTTTCAAAATGGCGGATGATAAAGTGAGAGGATGCAAAATTGATAATCACAGGTCCGTGTTTGCGATGGTGCATGGTGTGCATCAGGTATCGCAGCATAATGGGACCAAATGCACATGAAGGTATAGAGTGTTATCTTTAAAATGCTACTTTACCGAGCTCGATGTGATCATTTTTCACTGAGTTGTTCCAAATTTTGCTAAAAATTTTCTTGTTAAATTTGCATAATTCAGTGAATAAGTATCACATCAAGCTCTATAAGGAAGTATTTTAAAGAAAACATTCTATACTTTTAGGTATTTTTCGTCCCATTGAGCTGCGACACTTACTTTGCTCCATGCGCCGTCGCACGCTCGAACCTTTTTTTAGCAACTTTTCATGGTCTCCTTTTTATCACCCGCCATTTTGGAAAAATATCGTTGCGCACAATTTCGATAGATCTTTCGAAAAGTATGGTTTCAAAGCTTTCAAACCGTTTTTGAAATTTGCTGCTAGGATATTTAGCTGTCGAGATATTCAATTTCGAATTTGCAACAAATGTCGATTCAGCGAGGCTTAAGGGGCTAAGACGCTCTGCGGTTCGTTTGGCTCTTTCATAATTTCAATAGCTGTGTTCATGTTTCTCTATATAATAATTTACATAACCAGCATAATATATTCAATGATTTGCATTTATTATTTTAAAAGCCAGGGAAATGAAAGTAAAATTCAATTTAGGTTCTTCATTTTGCGTAATCGATATTACGTAATAAAGATGAATTGCGTTTTAAGATACCGCTGTCATTAGCTCAAATTATGATTGTAAGTCTTTCCAATATAAACCGCATGGAGTTTTACTGGTAGGAAAAGTCCCATTGTATGTAGTGTGTGTGTGTGTGTGTGTTTGTATACCACAAGGATAAGGACCCCGTGGTTCGTCAGCTCCACAGTATTTCAAGATTTCACACCCTCCTTGTGGTGTGTGTGTGTGTGTGTGTGTGTGTGGTGTTACAACAGAGATAATGACCCCGCAGTTCGTCACTCCTGCAGTAATTAATGACTCCAAACCCTCTCTGCTGTGTGTGTGGTGTGTGTGTGTACTAATAGTGGGTATGACTGCCTCGTGCGCGTATTACCTCATTCATACGATCAGGCATACTCCTTATTAGTCTTTTAATTTCATCCTGCGTAATTGTATTCCATTCATTTTCGAGAATTATTCGCAGTTCCCGCAGTGACTGAGGAGCAGGTACGTGATTTCGCACTTTCCTGCCGAGGTTGTCCCATAAGTGTTCGATTGGATTTAAATCTGGACTATTTGCTGGCCAATCGAGTCGATTTATGCCAACTTCATCGAAGAAATCAAGCATTCTTCTCGCAGTGTGTGGTCGAGCATTGTCTTGCATAAACAAGAAGTTCTCTCCGATGAAGGGTGCGTACGGAACAACATACGGAATGAGTATGTCTTCCACGTATACATCTGCGTTCATATTCTTGTCAAAAAAGTGCAGATCTGTATGAGCATTAGCTGAAATTCCTGCTCAAATCATTACAGAGCCTCCATTGTAGCTATGCCTCTCACTTACCGTACAGTCTGCAAATCGTTCTCCACCGCGACGATAAACTCGTTCTCGTCCATCTGGAGAATAGACACAAAAACGAGATTCATCGCTAAAGAGTACTTTGCTCCAGTCTGCATAAGTCCAGTCTCTATGCTCAACTGCAAAATTGAGTCGAGCTACGCGATGGTGACATTTAAGCAAAGGTACAGCTGCTGGCCTGCGCGAAAGCAGATTTTGTTCCTTTAATCTTCTCCAAACGGTGTTAACGGATACATTAATGTTGCGGACATCCCTTAAATTGTTTCTAATTTGAACAGATGTTTGATGTCTGTCTCTTAACGAATTTGAAACAATAAATCGGTCATCATTGTGATTGGTACATCGAGGACGTCCCGATCCAGGCCTTCTATGGAAAGAATTGGTTTGTAAGTACCTGGCATAAGCACGTTGCACAGTTGACATTGACAAATCAAGTGCCTGAGCAACGTACCTTCGACTTCTACCATCTTCAATTAAAGCAATAACTTGAGCAGCCTTTTCAGGATTTATCGTCGCCATAATCGACGCAATAATTTCGATGCGAAACAATCAATTATGGTTTAAATTGATGAAGTTGCACGAAGCAACGAGCTTCGAAAGGAAAAGATCACGGAAAAAGAAAAGTCGCACGAGGCAGCGCTT